CCTCACCTGTTCTATAGTGGATGGTTTGCTATAAACAGCCTCACCTGTTCTATAGTGGATGGTTTGCTATAAACAGCCTCACCTGTTCTATAGTGGATGGTTTGCTATAAACAGCCTCACCTGTTCTATAGTGGATGGTTTGCTATAAATGGCATCACCTGTTCTATAGTGGATGGTTTGCTATAAATGGCATCACCTGTTCTGGTCTCATGCAGTTGTTTTTTTCCAGGTAGCGGCAGTATTGAAATCCCAGTCCTCTGCATGCTAGTCTCAGGAGAGGCCAGTGTTCTGGAGGTGAGTTTACTAATTTACTGCATTAAAAATGGTTGAATCTGCAGGTGCAACGGTGGAGCAAGATCTGATGGGTTCAAATATCTGAGCAGCTTCAGTAGGGAGGCCCAGACGTTGTCATGTTGGGATCTAAGCGTCTAACCCACATGCAGAAACACTCTTCAGACAGGGAAAAGGTTAAATAGTTTATTCACAAAGTTTACAATAATTGTGCACAGGATCTTGGCTCGTCAGACCGGTCACGGAAGGGAAGCCACTAGAGGAGGACAGATCAGTTAGCGTGGATCCAGGAAACTTGCAGTATTGAGGTGACTTGGATTAATATCTGCTCAGAAGAGAATCAGATCAGCAACGGGGGAACCTTGTGGGTCCAGAGGCTAGTCGGCAGGCTGAGGGCAGAGGCGGAGGCTGAGGCGGAGGGCAGACAGGCAGGTTCCAGGCAGCGATTGTTTTTCTCCAAGATAATACAGATATCCAGATAACCAAACTAAGGTCAACACTGCGGCGTTGAAGGAAGGTCTGGCAGCTGCTTATGAAGGGAAGGTCTCCTGATGAGTAGACGCGTCTCAGGTGTGCTGGAGGGCTCCAGCCCAGGAGACCCACGGCGCACTCTGCTGGAGGAAGGTGGTACATCCCCAGATCCCAACACTAGGTCCAGATTATAAGGTTCCCTCAGTCCAAACATGCCTCACACATAAAAAATAAAATATAATCCATGAAGGAAGGAATCAGAATATTTATTCCATTTTTAAGGAATCAGAATATTGGCTTGGCAGACTCAGAGTGTGAGGAGGGGGATTAAAGAGTGATTTTAATTAGTCAATTAAAAATGTAATAATATTGAAGCTGAAGTGGATATTTTTGCTCTGAGTTTGGAATCCTGAAAATATCCTGAAACCTTTAAACATTTTTACTGAAACTATCAAATGCCTTCATTGTGTTAGTGCGGCTCTAGGCCTCTGGTTCAGTCACTGATGTCTTCTTTCTCTCCCTGGATTAGAGATTAGACATGTCTCTGAAGAAGCTGACGCCCTGGCTGGTTCTGGCTGGTTCCGGTCCAGCAGCTGATTTTATTAGCGACTTGGTTGACGACCAGTCGGCTGTGATGCTCAGCCGTACCTCTGCTCCAGCTGATGAAGAGGCCGTCAGTGCAGACTTCTGCGAAAGAGTCCGTGAGAAAGTCTGCAAACACTTCCCAGATGAGGCCGAGCCAGAAAAACTGGTCAACAGTGTGAGTGACTGTAGGAGTGTTTTCTTAGAAAGCAGAGATGATGTCACAGCTGCCATTGTTCAATTAGAGGCGGGACCGCAGACAGGTGGCCAGCGGGGAAACCTGATCTAAATTAGTTTCTCATTCTGAGCCAAAGTCTTAACTTCTGTTTCTTTGTCTGTCAAAAGTATTTACACAGCCTCAACTTTCTCCATATTTTACATCAACTCTGCTGCAACAGTTTCTGATCAGTCAGATCCATTACACCCCCCTCCCCCCCACCCCCCCCCCCCCCCC